AAAAAAAAAAAACTCAATAACCTGCACTTCAGAATAAAAAGTTCAAGAAATGCTAAACATGGTCACACATCAGGAAAAATGTAAAAGAACAGTAGAAATATTGACTTGACACACAAGCCAAAAGCTTAATTCATTCTAATTCTGAAATATTCTACATAAGTCATAGTCATGGCAGAACATCATCATTATGGAGTTCATTGATACCCAACAATTAGGAAAAAAAAAAATAAAGACTCAAAAACCTGCACTTCAGAATAAAAAGTTTAAGAAATGCTAAACATGGTCACACATCAGGAAAAATGTAAAAGAACAGTAGAAATATTGAATCACTTGACGCACAAGCCAAAAGCTTAATTCATTCTAAATTCTGAAATATTCCACATAAGTCATAGTCATGGCAGAACATCATCATTATGGAGTTCATTGATACCCAACAATTAGGAAATATAACAAAGCAAATAAACAAAACTACAACAGCTTATTCCTCTTCATCCTCATCACCATCACCACCAGAAGCCTTCTTGGCCGCCGCCTTCAGATTCTTTCTCTTGACCCTACCAGCACGACCACCACCAAACGGGCTAGTCAGAGAGAAATCAATGTGCTTTTGGGAGTCAACCCTCACCATGAAAGAGGGCACATTCACGACTTGCCTTCCAACCCTGGTATTGACAAATGAATACACACAAACATGATTAAATAAATATGCCTAGAATTGTAAGATGAATGATAGATATAATAACCTATAGAAAGTTATTACAAGTACCAAAGTTTAAGCTAGCAAAATGCAAGCAAACCTTGTGCAATTGAAGACTTTTTTTTGGCCGAAATTTATCATTCAGCAAAAGACGAGAAAGAAAAGGATGTGAAGGGATTTAAAGCTAAAGCTTTAGATGCTATTGCGCTACTACACATCAGTCATTGTACACATTTCTACCACAGGAGCTTTTAACTAGCAATATATCAATGCAAATGCATTCATCAAAAGCAAGTTTTTGATAGATTAAACAAAAAGTACGCCAGAGATCTGGCCTACAAGTTATCTAAAAACAGACCTGATATGTCTCTGCCTGATAAGCACCCTGGCGTGGTGGATGGATTTAGCCATGCCCGCCTTAAACACAAGAGTTTGCAGACGGCGCTCTAGGAAGTTCTCAACAGTGAGTGCCAAGACATAATCGAGCTTGTTCTGGCTCTCATCAAGCAGCCCATACCTGTTCATCCTCCTCAAAAGGGCTTCACCCTCAAAAATACGTCGTGGGTCCTTCTCATCGAGGGTCAAAAGGTTCCTGGCATTGTTACGAATGCGGCTCAAGGCATACTGAACCCTCCACAGCTCCCTCTTACACCTGAGACCATATTCGCCCACAAGCTTCAGCTCGGCATCCAGCCGCTCCTTCTCATATGGGCGGCGGGGTTTCTTAAAGGTCTTGCCATCTGTAACCATCATGTGGGAATATCCACGGGAGTTAATTTTAAAATTCATGTGATGCTACGAAAGAGAATGAGACATGTGCTCTTCTCAGCTAAATCAGAATTAACTAGAAAGAAGAATATTTTGTTATGACTTATAAGCTTTCAAGAGATCTTATTCGGTTGTTAATTTCAGGCCATAAGCAGAATAGGAGTCCAAATGGGGAAAAAAACAAAAAGCCAAACAACCCTACTTAAAGATCTTTAAGAAAACTATGAAGGAATGGAAGAGAAATAACAAACTCCATAGTTCTTCTAATCCGTCAATTTGTTAACAGTTGTATGCTGACAATTATTATCATCTAGTAATTTCAAATTACCAACACAACTATGCTAATACACGACTATTCATCTTTGCTGCAGATACTCAGAATTACACACACAATGTAAAATGAAGCAGCACTTCAATCTTCTGGATATGTCGCCAGGTAATTTTTTTCTAGAATGGTTAAAATGAACTCAATTTCCAAAGACCATTCCATTCGGTTATCTACGCCAATTGAATAAAAATCACAACTCAAACCATCAAATAGGTAAAAAATTCCGAAACAACAAAAGGAACATCGTTGAGAGAAGCATAATAAAGATCAAATAAAATTCATACACCACAAACACAAAATAAAAAACGCAGAACTTCCTCACAGAAAAAAGAGGATCAACAAAGAGAAACGGAACAAATCCACATAAAACTTGAAAGCAACAGTAAACTACTAAGTAACAATCTGCATTAACAAAAATCACAAGCGTTCAGCCATTTCATAATGTATGATGCGTTCGGATAGTGTTCGATCGAAGACGAAGATAAGGATACTTACAGTTGCGGTAAAAAGAGACGTGCACCATGATTTTCTGCCGGCGGCGTCCTCAGTCCGATCTTTGCCGATCGCAGTAGAAATGTTAGACTCGACTCGAGCAGCTGATCAATCCACGGCCGTGTAATATACTCAATTTTATTGGGCCAAAACCCTAGTGAGCCTCGTGTGGTTTGGTCCAAGGGAATTTGATTTTTATTGGGCTTTCTCACATTAGCCCAAATAAGTTGAAATTAAGATCCCATTGAAGAATTAATGAGAAATATTGACGCCAGCTATACTTCTGAAAAAAGTTTTTACATAACTACACCCTTTTATTATTAAGTCAAATACATTCTTTTTTATTTTCATTTATACTTCGAATTTCAGTTATTATTTGTTTATTCTTTTTTATTTTCGTTTTTTAATTCTTATTTAACCTTTTTATAAACCTCATCTTATCTTTCTACTGGATCTAATTTTTCTTCCATCTCGTTTTCTTCTTCTTCTAATTTCTTCTTCTTCTCTCTTTTTCTTTCATTCTTCCATTTTCATTCTTTTTCTTCTCTTTCGATTCTTCTTCTTCTTCCAATTTACAGATTTCCCCTAATCTAATTTTCCCAAATTTTTTCATCAAATCCGCATCCCAATTTTTTTCAAAATGATGGACTGCTTGAAGTTCTTGAAAATTCCCTTGAAAAATATATATTTCATATTCTACTCGACGTTATGCAACGGGGTCAATCATAGATGCAGCATTCGAATCAGTTCGCAAGCAGCATGTTGCCATATTCTCGCTGCTCAGATTCCAAATTCCAGACGTCAGCGTGTTTGAAATGGGCGTGCAAGGTTCGAATAGAAAATCGTCATAAAAGTATCTACTACCTCCGGCTGCTCGTCGTCGTTACGGCTCAACGACGTGGCATCTTTGGGTTCAATCGGTAGGGACAATTTTTAATATTTTTCTATTTTTCAGGCTTGGTGTGTTTTTACGATTTTTATGACGATTTTTAACCTTCGATTCGCACTCCTTGAACGATCGGCTTGAGTTTTTAGAGGAAGTCTTTGGAAATTATTTTCATTCATTATGTGTCTGTTGATTTTTTATTATGTTGAGGTTTGTTATTCTCTGGATTGTTGTGGTTTTTTTAATGTTACTTTGTATGTTGTTATGGTTGTTTTCATGTTACTTTTATGTTATTATGTTGTGGTTTTCTTGTTACATCGAAGGTTTTTCAGTTCTTCATATTTATCTCAATTTTTATGTTGTGGATTGTTATGTTATTTTTTTATGTATGTATATATATATATATATATATAATCAATTGTTTTTTTTTTTCAGGAGAAGATGAAGATGATGAATAAAGGGAAGAAGCGAGAGAAAAGAATGAAACGAGATGTAAGAGAGAAATAAGAGAGAGAAAGAGAGCAGTTAGATAAGAGAGAGAAAGAGAGAGAGTAGTTGATTTTTGAAATGATGTAACTTTCTATTCAAGCAATTTTGTCTACTGTTTGGAGTAGATTGGGAACTGTGTATGGCTAGTAACTGTTTTGTAAAATCTTTATTAAAAAAGGGAAGTTATAAATTTTTCCCATTTAATGATACTAGGGCAATTTTACAGATACACTACACGAAAAACAAATATTTTCGATTTTACCTTCCTAGAACAAGTAATAGGATATATACCTAATCAAGTTATTTTATTTACGTGATTGCCTAAATATCAGTTACCTTTTGTAACGCCCTCATCCATATGTTGGTGGTTTCCGCCATCGTTACCAGGAAAAAAAAAAACAAAAAACAAAAATCGTATTCTTCATTTCAAATTCATATCAGACATATTTTTATGGAAAAGATATGAGATTTGAATTTCAAGACTATTCATAATCGTGACAGTTAAAAAAAAAGACTAGGGGATCGATCGGAGTCACCGCGACAATAATTCACCTAACATATACTTCAGAAAATCGTGACTTCATGGGCGATCGAATGGACGTATATTTATGTAATTTTATCGTATATTGAAAACTAAATAATTTTGAGTTTTTTTTAACGTTTATTTTTGGATTTTATCGTTTCTACCAAGATTAATTTGTGTGTCTTTTTTTTAATAGATAGAGTCGAGCATGATGATTTTCATACATCATGGGGGGTGAATGGATTGTGAACGAGTATGTGAATTACCGTCTGGCTTGTGTTTTGGTAAGAAAAGATTGCAGGTTCACAGAATTATGTGGTATATTGTGTGATGAGTTCGGGGTGATGTCTCAATCACATGTCATTGAACTGAAATATAAACTGAAGGAAGGGTGTCCACCAATGTCCATAAATGACGACAAAAGCCTTGGCTTCTATGTCTTCTTGAAGCCCAAAGAAGATGACTACACGAAGTTTTCGATTTGCTTAGAGGTGAAGGCTCATAGTATTGCTGAAGATTCGTTGGGTAATGAACGGAATATGTTTTCTATGAGTTACGAGTCAAATGTTGCACCTTTGAGTTATCTGGTATTGAAAGTATTCTGATGTCACAGATGACTTGATTAATTTCTTGTCTTCCGCGAGGAATATTGCTGCAGAGATGATAGAAGCTGCCGGATATACTGAAAATATACTTAACATAATCCATGATAGTGAGATGGGGTTGCCATTAGAACAAAATGTTGACTATAGTATTGTTGATGGTCGTTTCCTAAAGGATAAAAATGAGCTTCAGAAATTGTTGACCATGCATGCTATAAAGCATCGTATCAATTCAAGGTGGAGAAGTCTTGCTTCAAACAATACTATGTAAGGTGTGTATCGAACGATTGTTCATGGTTTGTGAAAGCATCACGCTTGGGTAAGTCAAACACTTTTAAGATAAGAGGTGTCGGGACTGAACATGTATGTCTGTTGGATGTTCGAACAAGTAACCAGAGACAGACTACCTCAACCGTTGTTAGTGATTTTATCAAGACGAAATTCACGAACACGAAGACTGCATATAATCCCCTTGATATCGTTGACGACATGCAAAGTCATTTTGGGATAAACTTGACGTACCAAAAAGCGTAGAGGTCAAACGGAAAGCTATTGATGAAGTACGTGGCAAAGTTGATGAATCTTACAATTATGTTCATCAATATCTTTTGAAGGTACGTGCATCAAACCTAGGTAGCATTTTTAGGGTGAGCACCACTTTGGAGAAGAATTTTTGTACGCTTTCAGGTCACTAGGGGCATCTGTTAAAGGCTAGGTCCATTGTTGGCCAATTGTTATTGTTGATGGGAAATTTTTGACTTCGACATACGGAGGACTTTTGTTAACAACATGTTGTCAAGATGCAAATTCTCACATTTTACCGCTTGCATTTAATGTTGTTGATTCGGAGAATAACCACTCCTAAGTGTGATTTTTTACAAAATTGCAAGTTGTTATTGGTGAGAGGGATGGTCTACGCATTGTTTCAGATGGTCACGAAAGCATAAGGCACACCATAGAAAAGATAATGGTATATTTATAGTGATAATTGAGTATATTTACAAGTATATATATATATATATATATATATATATATATATATATATATATTGTGTATTTTCTGAGCAGAGTATTGTTCATTTGTTTACATATATATTTACTAGTACATACACTGATAAATCATCAATTATTTTTATATAGGTACTCCCTAATGCGACGCATTGTCTATGCACTTATTATATCTCAAACAAATTGAGGATGCATTATAAGACTGAGGCACAAGCAGTAAAAGAGGAATGTTATGCAGCAGCAAGGGCCTATACGTAGAAGAATTCGATATGCATATGCCTCAAATAATGAAGTTGAATTCGAGTGTCGTAACATATCTAGAAAATATTGGCGTTCACAAGTGGGCACGAGTTCATTGCCCCAATAATAGATACTTTACCATGACATCTAATGCTGTTGAATCAATAAATGTTGTCATCTGATCCGTTCGTGACCTACCGATAACAACACTACTAGAGGCTCTTAGGGACATGCAACAGAGATGGAATGTGGCAAACAAGGATGAAGTCAAAGGCAAATTTACTATTGCAAAGAAGCCACATAGTATGTTGGAAACTAATTACCATGGAATGTTTTTTTTCATATTTTATTTTTTTCGGGACTTATTATCTGTTATACACCAAAAATATACTGTACATATACTAAAATGTGTAAAGGAAGAGTTGGAATTTGTTCGACCCCTAAGGGTGTCTCGGTCGAAACAGTATGAGTTTCGACCTCATGGGATGGAGTGGTCGAGTCGGGATGCGAGGTGGTCGAATCCTCAGGAGCTCGTTTTTTTAGAGCAGCTTTCCTCTTGAGCATAGGAATCGCAGGCATCTCTGCAAAAAATTATAATAATACATCAGAAAAGCATTAAACAGGTGCATACCCGAGTTGCTGTGATCGAACATTACCTGGATCACCTTCAACTCGAATCGAGTTGAGAACTTCCAAGGTAGGAGGAGAAAAGGTTTTGTGGGTAAGGAGCCTGCATAAATGCAGTAAATTATCGTTTTCGAGGAGGTAATTGGAAATAACGGGCTTGGAGTTCCAGACAAAAATGCGCTGGGCGAAAAGAGGCTCGGGAGAAGGGTTTTTTAAGTCAAAAGAAAGAGATTTGACCCAAAAAGCATTCGCCCAAGGAAAAAGAACGTCACGCTCGACATACAAGAATTTTGATTCATTTTGGGACGTTAGAGGGCATGTCAGAGATAAAATGGGTGCCGTTTCGGCTTTTCAAATACAACCAATTGACTTGTTTAGAGGGCACATAACAGTAATGGAAGAAGCCCTTGTCGAAACGGCCTATTCGAACATAGGAAAGGATAAGGAAAGTATTAATCGAGCGGATGGCATTAGAGGGGAGCTGGTTGAGAGGAAGACCGAACCAGTCACATATTTCCAAGATTTCAGGGCAAAGTGGAAAGCGGACGTCTAGGTCAAATTGGACCTTAAAAAAGGTATAGCAGTGCTCGGGTGGGTTATCATAAGTCTCACGGGGACCCGGGCTAAGGAAACGCCAGTAGCAGGGTTGGCCGAAC